TGATCGCAAAGGCTCTGCATGGTCCTCTTTATTCTTTGAATAAACCAAAATGTCATCAATAAACATTACCACGAATTGGTTTAGGAAAGGTTGAAAAACTCTATTCATCAAGTCCATAAAAGTTGCAGATGCATTAGTCAACCCAAAAGGCATTACTGTAAACTCATAGTGTCCATATCTCGTCCTAAATGTCGTTTTCGGAATGTCCTCTTCCGCAATTCGCAGTTGATGATATCCAGACCTCAAATCAATCTTAGAAAACACTATTGTACCTTTCAACTGGTTAAACAAGTCATCTATCCTAGGTAAAGGATATTTTTTCTTTATGGTTACCTTGTTCAACTCCCTGTAATCGATGCATAGCCTCATGCTACCATCTTTCTTTTTCACACACAATACAGGAGCTCCCCATGGTGATGCACATGGTCTTATGTATCTCTTCTCCAACAAATATTGTAACTGACTTTTTAATTCACTCATCTCAGCAGGTGTCATCCTGTATGGTGCCTTAGAGATAGGTGATGTTCTAGGTACTAAGTCTATGGCTCTTATTTGCGGCATACCAGGAATCTCTCCTGGAAACACATCTAGAAACTCCTTTATTACTTCAATATCCTCTGGTTTAGATGGTTCCTCATACTCCAAGTTTCTCACACTACAGAAATAGATTGGGTTCCCCTTCTTCATATATTTTTCCAACTTCATCACATAAATGATCTTAGTATGCCAGGGTTTTCCATGCCTCTAATGGGTTACGAGCTCTCCCTGAGCCATTTTCAAGTGGATTTTTTGTGACTTGTATCGTATTTCAGCATTATAGGGTACATAACCAATCCATTCCTAGAATTATATCAAGGTCTCCTAATTCAAATTCAATCAGGTTGGACATAAATTCCTCCCCTTTAATCTTTATAGGTACATCCTTATAGACCCTTGTACAGTGAACTACAACCCTAGTTAGAAGTTCTATAGGAATATCTATGTCATCTACAGTTTTTAGACAATGCGATAGTTTTGGAAGCATAGCTTTAGAAATGAAAGAATATGTTTCACTAGGATCAAACAAAACTTTAACAGGAACTGAGTTTATAGAAAATGTACCAGTAATGACATCTCTTGCTGCGTCAGCCTCACGCGAACCCATTACATTAAGCTTTCCAGGTGCTCCACCCTTAACTTATGTGTAACCACCATTGGTATTCTTATTTCCATTCTGAAACTGTGCTCCCTTATTCACTTGATTCCCATTGTTACCCTGACCTCCTTTCTGCTAATTCCAGTTCTTTCCACTACCAAAATGATTGTTTCCTTAACCCCCTTTACTCTTAGAAAAACACTTGTATGTCCTGTGTCCTTGTTTTTTACACAGGTTACAAGTGACTAAGTTCCATCACAGTCCTTCCCTGGGTGATTGTTAGAACATCTCTTACAATAGTATACCCTCTAGTTATGATCTCCAGGTTGGTTCTTATTTCCCCTAGGAAAATTGCGCCCACCTTAGTTCCTATTGTTCTGGAAGTTATTACCTTGATGGTGATTAAACTTTTGCTTCTTGAAGTTATTCTGGTTCCTAGATGGTCCAGAACTAGTCATAGGATTTTTTCTTTTCTCCCTAGCATCCAACTCAACCTTTTTAGCCTTTTCCTTCAACTCCAACGCATGTAAATGCGCTGCCCTACCACACAACTCATCCAAATTGTCAAACACTTGCCCTGACAACTTGCCTTGTGGAGAAAGAGGCAATCCCCTTTCAAACCTTCTAGCTTTCTGTCTATCAGTAGCCACAATATCTTCAGCAATCCTAGACAGCTCAATAAACATAGTGTAATACTCGGTCACCGACATACTTCCCATCTTAAGCTCCAGGAATCAGCTTTCTGCTTTTGCAAGAACATTGGGTAGAACTTATCCCTCACTTGCTCCTTGAACACATTCCATCCAAATTTAGGTAATGCTCTTATAGTTTTTTCATTCTGCTACCACCACAAATCTACTTCATCCCTTAAGTAGTAAGTTGCACTACTCACTTTGGACTCATTAGGGCATGCTACTGCCACAAACAACTTGTCGAACTCTCTCAACCAATTCTCAAGGATAGTTAGGTCAGGTTCTCCCTGGTAGGTAGGAGGTTTGCTTTGGGCTATCTTCTCAAAGAACTCCGCAGCAGGGTCAGGATTGTTATTGTTATTTCTTTCAGCTAATTGTTGAGCTATAGCAGCTAGTATCCTTACTACCTCATTCAGATCATTGTTATTGTTGTTTCTCCCTACCATCCTAGTCCTTTTGAATTAAGAAATGGCTACTATTAGGTTGGTCACAACTCTCTTGTAACTAGACAACAACCATTCTCTTTTAATCCAAGCATACAAGCAGTCATTTTGAATTATAGCAGAAGCACCTACTAATTTCTCCTACTAATAATTCAACACATTGTATTGGTTGTCATGCAATCATTTCACTTAAGTAAGCACACCATAAAAAATATTTTTGAGTCATTTCCCTTGATACCATAGACAGAAAATAAAAGTAATAAATGACACTTGACAGGCTTGTTTGAAGATGGAAATGTATAGGAAAAGATTAAATAATGCTTTATTGAAATAATGAAAAGAAATGTTTGGAACATTCCAAATGTAGCTCTACTACTTATTACCCATACGCAGTACTTTATTAAACTGCAATGTAAATAAAGAATGAAATAAATACTTAAAACACTAAAGAAAAGTTAGTCTAAGATCTTCAGATGTTGACATTGTCAATCTTGTCTTTTATCTCCTTGTACTTCTTTGGATTATACTCAGGATCACTCCCATTATCACCATCATTACCACCACCACCACCACCACCACCATCATCATCATCTTCCTCGGGATCCATTTCTTCATTAGGGTCTTCGTCAGACTCATCAGATTCTAAGTTAATGATTACTGGAGGGCTTGGAGGATTTGGATTAGAAATGACTTCACATGAAGTATCTCCAGACTCATTATTTTGCTCCATTGGCTCACCCTGACTCTTATAAGTTTGCTCAGGTTCTGACTCAGACATGGAATCATAGTTTTCTTAAAAATAGTAAGGTGCATTTTGTTGTGGAGCTAGATCACCAAAGTTATGGTAAGGTGGAGGATAAGCAGTATACTAAGGGTTAAGGTACATAAATTCCTTGTGAGCAATATAACGGTATAAGTATCTCTAATCTGCTCCCCACTGATCATTAGAGTCCTTATACTTAGTATAGTTAGCAACACCATTAGGCAAGTGAAAATCACGAAAGCGACTCTTAATAGCTTCATAGAGAGGATAGTTAGGAAAGCAAAGAACAATCATGGCAGGACATAGTCAAGTTGGTCAAAATGACGTTCTCCAAACACATAAGATCTATAAGTACAGTAAAAACGAATCCTGCGAATATAATCCCACACATGCTCATAGTCCTTCTTTATTAAATTGCCCATAGTAGTGAATCTAGTAGGTAAATCAAACATCCTACAAGGTATTTTGGGTCATGACTCAATAAAGAAAAATTCCCTTTTCAATTCAAGTATACAATTCTTTGCAATAGAAAAAAAAAATTAAGTTTGGTGTTCAATCATACAATTTATATTACTACACATAAACATGCTTTCACTTAAATACATATTATCATACAACATGCTTGATCACCTTGCATAAATAAAATATGCACATAGGAAGACATACAATTCTAGCCTATATGCCCTTTCTTTCCTACCCAATCTCACCACATGTTTTCAAAAGCAATTAACACATAATTACATACCTTAATTTCTTCGCATACCTACATACATAATCTGTTTCTTTTTTTTTTTTTTTTTTTTTTTAAATTGAGCTTTATTTTCGAAAATAATTGCCCAAAATAAAAAAAAAAATTTCGGCCCTTATTTCTTTTTAAAAAAAAATTCGGACCACTTAAAATTTAAACAAAAAAAAAATCGGGCTTTGTTAAAAAAATCGAACCTCTATAAGAAATATTTTCAAACTTAATTAAATAAGCACTTGGCCAAGCTTTAAAACATAGGGCCCTACAAAAACGTTTTGGCTTTAGTGGTAATTAAAACCCAACCAAAACTCTGAGATACCACTTTGTAATACCCTGGAAATTTCCTTCTTTTAAAATATTCATTTTACTCAAAATAAAACCCTTTTTAGGAAATAACCAAAGTATTAGCTCCATCGTGATAACGGATAAGGCTCTTTTTCAAAGTCACATAGCGGAAGTCTAAAAATAAAAACCAAATTTCAAAATAAAACTTGAGCTCACAACCTCAAAACAAAAGTAGAATTAAATCATTCACAAGTTAGAACCAATTCAATCATGGCCCTTTTAAAAACCAATTCAAAAATAAACATAACAAACACTAGTACAAAACTAACCTCTAAGTAACACCCAAAAAGTGTTACATAAAGTGGTAAAAATGTTATTATAGACAATAGGTAACACTTAAGTGGGTGATACATCCGCCCATGTTACCTAAGGTCTTATGTAACACTTTGGATAACGTATGGTAACACTTTTAAAAGTGTTACTATATAACCTCTTATGTAACACTTTTTTATATCTTTAGTATCATTTTTAAAGTGTTACTTTTTATTTCTTACGTAACACTTACTTATCTTTAGTAACATTTTTCAATCATATAGTATCACTTTATCCGACATTATGTATCACTTTTTCGAACTAATGTAACACTTTATTGATTATTAGGTAACATTTTTCAATCAAGTTTTGACATATAGTAGCACTTTATTTGATATTATGTATCACTTTTTATAAAGTAATGTAACACTTTATAGATTAATAGGTAACATTTATTATTATTATTATTATTATTATTATTATTATTATTATTATTATTATTATTAACATTTACTATTTTTTTAAAATATAAAAAAAAATTATATGTACAACAAACGATATGAATAAGAAATCAACACATATGATAGAAAACAATTTCGGTTGAAATACTTTCATAATTCTTACAAAAAAAATCCATAAACACCAATTATAATGTTTGGCCAAACAATATAATAATCCTAACACAAAGAAAATTAAGTTTGATCTCTAGCTTGGAAAAAGTAAGGAAAAATAAAAAACTTCCAAATTTTAAAAAAAGTTAGCGATAACAGCAAAGAGCATTAATAACAGCGTATAGTAGCAGCTACACAACTAGCTAGCAGAATGGCAGTAGCTACGCAACTAGCAGAATGGCAGAAGTAGTAACAGAAGCTTCTAGTAGCAGTCTTTAGCAGCAACCAGCAGTAGTATACAGGAGTGGCAGCTTTCAGCAGTAGCATACAACAGTTGGCAACAACCAGCAGTAGCAGAGAGCAGTGGCAGCAAACCGAAGTAGCAAGAGTCAGCATTAGATCAGACAACACTAGCAGTGAGAAAACAGCAGACTGCAGTAGCAGCAGATAGCACTGAGCTAGTGACATCGACAGGCATCAGCAACAACAGCAGATATCTGTAACAGCAGAAAGAGTAATGGTGACATTGGTTGCTACATATATGCAACCATGTTTCTTGTGTCCTGTAACATAACAGAAGTTTTTGTTTCCATCGTCTCTAATCTTCCAATGCTCTATCTCATGGTTCTCACTCCCTTGCTTATAAATGGAAGAGCATCTATAAATACAATGAGAATTGAAAAAAGTAGTAAACTGATAGTGTAAGAGTAAAATAATGCTTCATATATATATCTGCCCTCTTACATTTTTTTTTAAACACTCTACCCTCTTACATAGCATCAAGTAAATTGTAGACATTCTGGGGGAAAAATGCTCAATAGCCATCTTCTAATATATTAGCCAATTCAAATTGAATATACACCTATATTAAATAAAGCAACCTTGTCATCAAACTACAGTAGCAGCAATTCTTGTAAGAAACTAAGAATTAAATCCATGGAAGCAAAACTACCAATAATTCATGCAACTATCTACTGAACATTGATCAGAACTTCACCACCCACACTGCAAACTTAAAAAAAAAAAACATATCATCCAAGAATATTAATCTATAAAAAGGTCCAGGAATCAAATTGATTGACCATGCTAGGAAGGTTTGCAATAATGCCCCTTAAGCTTTTGTCCAATATAATAACATTGCCTTCAATCTTATTTTTAATTCTCATTTTCCATTGTAAAACAAATATCCTCTCTCGTTCTTTTCCCCTATATAACTGGATGTTAAAAGCAATTACCACATGAACACCCTATTAGTTCATCTATGAGCTTGATACTGATCTTTACATAAATTAATTTATTGGAAACCTTTAATCACCAAATAACAATTTTAAAAGCAATTACCAAATAACATGTTTTAAATATCTAAACCACAGAAGTTCATCTATTAGCTTGATACTCATCCTAACTTCTGACTTTTAAAAGTGTGTGCAGTTAAAAGTGTGTGCAGGCTTCCTGCACAATCAAGTATAAGCCACCTTGTTGCCTCCTGCCTACTAACTAAGCTGATTTGCTGATTATTAAATTTCTTGGTGATAAATTAGAATACAATTCACTACTTTGGCCTGACCCAAAACCTTATTAGCCATTTATCTACTTGATTTCGCTCATAGAATCCAATTCTACAGCTACTTGAAAGAAAAGGGCTTAATTCCACTTAAACAACACCAATGAAACTCACCAGAATCCTAATTTCTAAAACTATGCTCGATAATAGAAATAGGAAGCAGAAAAATTCGAGAAACATAAAATAGCTAGTAAAAAAGCATTGAAGGTTAGATTAAGCTTACATTTTATAAGGATCAGCACTGGTGTATCCAGTTGGTTTCAGAATAGGAATCAAAACCTATACAGCATTCAAATCAGCGAAGTTTAATATTCATCACCCAACTTGTTCAAAGCAAGAAATTAGATTGATTAATCCAACAAATTGAAAAATCAGGAAAAATAAGTATACATAAAGGGGAGGGGGCATGAAATTACCTCTCGATTAGCAACAAATAATGGAGAAATTAAGACAAACTATATCATGCCAAACAACCCTCGACTACAAGCAATAATCAATCAAAGGGGAGGGGGCATGAAATTACCATCAGCTAAATTGATTGGACTACACTCTACACTACAAGCATCAACAAATAAACGTCTTACGCAACACACCACACAATTTTTACAGGCAAGAAGTTCAAAGCATGTTCCGCAATTCATCACACTAAATTATAAATGCAGCGCAATTTCTGAGTTGCCATCACTCTAAATCGATTTTACACTTCGCAAACAAAATTTACAGAATACGAAATTGATTGTGCAGCGATCATCAAATCGAGCATTGTAGTGAAAAAAGACCCTAATTTATGAAATTGAAGAAAAAAATAAGTAGAAATTAGGAGAAATACCTGCAAGAATTGGCGGACCGTATCGGCACTCTGGCCAGCAACGATCTCAAGGAATTTAGAGACCATGACCTGCTTATCGGAAGGAGAGATAATGTCCTCCATTGATTTCGAGCTTCATTGTCAATGGCGAATGAAAATCGAAGGAAAGACTCATTGGTTTAATTACTGAGAAGGTGATAGCGATGGAAGCAGAGGTAAGGAGGTGCAGCGTAAAGAGACGGTCAACGCTTTATTGAGGGTTGGAGAAATACGAGGGGGGAGAGATTTGTGAGGTTGTGACTGTGAGGGTCGATTTTGATTAAAAAAAATTGAGCATATCGAATTAAGTGTTTTCTTAAAAAAAAAAAAAAAAAATTAAGTGTTACAACCAAGTGTTACCTAATATCAAAGTGTTACAATAAAGTGTTACCTAATACCACAATGTTACAAAAGTGTTACGTAAAAATCAAACAATCATGAAATTTTTAAAGTGTTACCAATGGGTGTTACTTAAGCTCAATTTTGTAGTAGTGAAAGTTAGTTCATAACAATAAACCATCAATTCAAAATATAAACTAAGAAAGCATAACAAGTAGCTCTCACTCTCTCAGCACTCATTCCCTTCATGCTCTTCATACTTCAAGTACCTGTCACTTTCTCTTTATTTCAACCCCTCTACTCACCATATAAATGGGTCATAGTAGGGCCAATCCAAATGAAAGCCAAACACAAACAACAAAGTAAGAATAAGCAAAAGCTGAGTACATATGCACCACACTAACATGAATATCCTAGTATCAACAAAAATAATTAAAACATGCTCGCCATACAATCACAAGTCAACTTACCTTTGACTCATAACTAAATATGTAAATTATTAGATGATAATTTTGGATTATGCATCTGTAGACACCTAAAAATGTCTCCCCAAACCAAACCCGATGATAAATCACCGCAATTATTGGTCGGGTCGAGTATTTAATCTTGGGAGTGCTTAAAACCCACATTCATTCAAACATAGCCTGCAAATCAGTCAACAGATCAGTACAAATCCTTATTCAAACTCAGTCCAATCCACTTTTAAGCCCAAACCTTTTTTAATTCATTTCGTGTTATTTATTAATTAAGCCCGATTAATAAAATAACAAAATCCTAAACCTGAATAAGCCCATAACAACTGAAATGACGCCTAAATATCATGTACTTAATGATAAGAAATAGGGTTAAAATGAATTTGGACGGAAATCTGGAAAGCATATTTGCCTTGTCACGGCAAAAATGCCGCGTAATGGCAATTCTTGCCGTGTCACGGCAAATTGCGCCGTGTTGCGACAAATCCTGCCGTGACGCAGCAATTTCTAGGTTTCCCTCCGCGGCGCATTTCATTTTCTAGGGTTTCGTGCATCACTTTACTCATTTCCTCTATAAATACGAGGCGGATTTCTCAATTTTGGGGAACCAAATCATTCTCTCTTCCTCTCTGTTATGCACCAACACACATTCTCTTTTCTTTCTCTAATATTCTAAGCCTTAAACCTATTCTCCTAATGACACCATTCCTCCTATAAGCTTTCCCCGGAGTCCATACAACACCCGAAGTTCCATACTTAAACCAAGGCGTGAAAGGTAGAACTGATTGAGGGTTCGGACCAAATCAACTCTAATTTTATTTAATTTAATTTCAATTTGATTTATTATTTTATTGAAGTTACTAAAAATTTATTCATGATGTAGCAATTTAAAGAAGAGTGGAACATGAATAATTAATTCACTTAATTACTCTTCATATTATTCTTATTGCTAGTATCATGATTAGGGTTATTATTATGATTTGATTTGACTAACGTTATTATGGCTAAATTGCTTCTAATGTTAATGATGATTTTATTATGTTTATTGATCACCATATTGCATGTTTAAAGGGAATATGTAATTGAATATAACGCCTAAGAAGATAATTTGGACGACCGATTTAGGTTCCTTTTTAATCTTGTGGTTTAATCAAGTGATCACGATATTTTAGAATTATATGTTGCATTAACATTAAACCAATTTAGCCTAATACTAGTCTGGAGCAAATTCAATCTTTGTTTGTATGCCTTTGAGATCGCAGGAATCACTTTTCACAATAAGAATCAAGTAGAGGCCAATACGGGAGAATGTGACTCCATGACTCACTTCGTACCATCATCTCCAATCCTCCTTTCGTGGTTCTAACCATATGGAGTTAGTAATATCATGGATTATGAAAGGGGTATAACCTTCACAGGTCAATCGTTGTTGCCTATCATTGTCCCTTTTCGTGGTTGCCTTTTAATGATCCATGAAGGGTTTACAAGTTCCTTAAAAACTTGTTGGCGGCTCCCTACTTTATTTGTCCCTAATCGTTGTCCCAAATTGTATATGTCAATTCCCACTTCCTATGATTGCCAAGCATATTCACAACATGCTTAACGTAGGCGCGCTTCGAATGACGCCTACAATTTGGCAACCCCACTAGGGAGGATTCTTGGTTATTTATCGATTTGCGTGATCGGTATTTAATTGAGATGAGTGGATGAGACTTGAAAGATTCTTGAATCGTATCCCTGTGATTAATTTGGCATTTTTGCATATGCATCAACGTTTTAACGTCGTATTTAGGTTCACCTCGTAGGAAAAATCAAATAACCTGATCGCGAATGAAAAAACAGAGGCACTGGTCAGATTTCCTGACTGTCGCGCCACGGCAAAATTGCCATGTCACGATGCAGATCACCGTTACACGACAATCAGTACCGTGACACGATATTTCCTACCGTGTCGCGGCAGTCCTAAAATCCTTCCAGTGGCTCTGTATTTTTCTTGTTATTTAGCTTCCTTCGTTTTTCCTGAAAACCGTATGTGTTCAACACACTTTTTAGCCCCAAAGAATTTAAGCTCTTTCAACCTGAAAGTGTTCATGACAATAAGGGTTCATCCGAGTTATTAAATCCACCCAAACCATAGAGTCGAATTTGATTTAATCACGAACTTGCGGAGCATCCCGTTGGCATACACCCTCAAGGGAGCTGCCTTGCTAACGCGCCCAAACTCTTAACCATGGTACCCTTTTGATACCCAAATAAGCTTGACCATAGTCGAACATAGAACAAGACTATAGGTTGCGAACTTCCTTGTATCATATGTGACAATGTGCTTATATGTGCATATTTTTATTGATTTTTTTTTCTTATCTAACCCTCCTTTTTTATTAGAGTCGAGTCATAGTGGTTTTTTTTTTTTATTTATTTTGAGTCAACCCAGTTTTTTATTCCCGTATTCTGCACAAGCATCAACTTGTTTTTCATAGCTGGAGTTCTAGAAATAGTTACGTGTCGTTCCAGCTATGGATCTGTAGCCCCGAGTTTTTATCTTTCATTTGGCGTTAATTTTGTCCCAATCAGAGTCACTGATTAAAAGTTATAACCGAAATATTACAGCCTGTCCAATTTAGGAGTTCTTTTTAGCGACTAATCTTCTTTTATTTTTATTTTTTTTAATCTTTTCATGTCAAGATAAAAAAAAAAAAAAAAAAAAAAAAAAAAAAAAAAAAAAAAAGAAGAAGAAGAAGAAGAAGAAGATAGTCCTAGCCAATTTTCTACTTCTCTTATTCCTCTAATCCATGCCAACTTGTATAACATAGGATTGTAGATTTTATTTTATTTTATTTTTAATCTTTTCCCGTGAGTCCTAACTCTTCTAGAATTCCAGTCCTCTTCCTAGTTTCTTGTGATTATTGTGTTAACCTTAACATGTGTTTTTCTCTTTGATTGTGGTTGATCTTATTTATGACTAACGATTGCCAATGGACAGTTTTCACCTAGTAAATAGCAAAAACATTAAAATTGGACAAAATTAATCAAGTTAGTTTGTCTTTTAGTCTTCCGTGCTATTTGGTCCTTGTGTCCTTTGTTTTTCACAACGTCCTCATGTTTATCCCTGCGATCATACCATGAGTCTTATAAATTCACCTAATCACACATGTTGAGTCGTTGCACACACTTTGTCTTCGAGTCATGCACCATATTGTTTATGATCGTGTAGGACCATGCATGCGTTGTTTTCCATTATAATAGGAATGAGTGGAGTATTTCCCTTCAGTTTTCAAAATTATTTCATACACTCTTCCTTTCATCCAATCCGAGTATTGAGCATTGAGTGAGTTCATCCTTCCACAATACTTGAGTCCAAAATCACTAGGCAACAATTGGAAGAATAAGGGGAACGTCACTCCTTCCTTCTTTCCTTCCAATCAAAGCATCAACAACAACAAACTTTTTTCCTCCCCAGGTAGCAAGAAGTAACTCATAAACAGCCACGAAGACGAAGCACGATGCAAGCTTCTCGCCAAGATTTCATGCTTTCTTCTTCTTCTGTTTCAAACCCTTCCCCCTAAAAAGTCTAGCATAGGTTCTCCTTATCCGTTTGTCTATATGTCATGTTTCTCACCTTCTTCATAAATGAGCATTTCTTTCTTACATTCAGTTATGTGATTAGCAAAAAAGAAAAAAAAAAGCTTTTGCCAAATCAAGTATAAGGTTACCAATTATTAGAGGCACCTTTGCAACCCATTATTCCCATTAACCATTTAATCACATATCCCTTTTCTTCACTAACCATTTTGAGCCTCGTCTAACAATTGGCCTTATTTATTCAACCCACATTCACCTAACCTTGGGATGGGAAGATGTGTAATTTGTGTAATATTCAAAAGCAAGTAAAAAAAAAAACAGCAAAACAATAATAAAACAATGTCTAAGGGCAAGTATTCCAATGTCTTTGATATGAACACGTCTCGAATTGCGTCTCCCATCAAGTGCTTGGTACCATGCCTGGGAAACATGAATTCTAAGTGAGTGATGGACCGCATGATCCGAGATTGCCCACATTGATTCAAAACAATGAAAAAGAAAAAATAAATTCAAAGCAAAAAAAATGTTGAAAATAAACTTGCAAAATTCAAAATTTTCAAATACACAATTACACATCTTAGGGGGCTTCTCTCGGGTCTTGAGCCTTTCACCCTTTCTTCTTCAAACCAGTAGCTAAACCACGTTACAACCCTCAAAAGACCTCTTTGAGGTGTACATACACTTGTGTAAAGTTCGGGTAGAGCTACGTTCGGCCTAAATCCTAACGGATATGTAGGCAACCTCACATCAAGGTGCGGCTACATTCATATTCACATTCATGTATGATCACGTCAAGAGATTTCCAATGCTCAACCATATCCATCTAGAGCTAAACTTGGGGGCTTCAACCCACGTTATTTAGCCTACCCAACCTAATGAGTCGCCATCTCGACTTTTCTCATATCTATTTCCCTCGCCATAGCCTTTGCAGCCTCACCTTAGTATCACTTTCACTCACATCATTCACACATACATTGCCATATCCTCCTTCCCTTAGGAACACCATGTCATGAAATCTTGTTTCATCAACGCGCATACTTCTTCATCCTTCACAACAACATCCAGCAAACATCATCATTGAATACATGCTTAGCTTCCTGATTTAAACAACGTTCACCAAGATTCCAGCAAACATCATCATTGAATACATGCGTACATTACATACGTGCTTAGCTTCCAAACCTAGCAACTTCCAAGATTGTACATTATA